TGATGATGATGATGATGATGATGATGATGATGATGACGAGGAGGAGGAGGAGGCGGAGGCGGAGGAGCATAGTGTGGAGGCGGATGATGATGATGATGCTGATGATGATGATGATGATGATGATGCTGATGCTGATGCTGATGCTGATGCTGATGCTGATGCGGATGCGGATGCTGCTGATGATGATGCTGCTGCTGATGATGATAATGGGGGGGCGGTGGTGATGATGATGATGCTGATGATGCTGATGATGATGATGATGATGCTGATGCTGATGCTGATGCTGATGCTGATGATGATGATGATGATGATGATGATGATGATGATGATTGATGATGATGATGATGATGATGATGATGATGATGATGATGATGATGATGATGATGATGATGATGATGATGTGATGCTGATGCTGTTGCTGATGCTGCTGATGATGATGCTGCTGCTCATGATGCTGATGATGATGAGGAGGAGGAGTAGGAGGAGGAGGAGGAGGAGGAGGAGGAGGAGGGGGAGAGGAGGAGGAGGAGGAGGAGGATGAGGAGGAGGAGGAGGAGGAGGAGGAGGAGCATGCGGAGGAGGAGGAGGCGGAGGAGGATTTGGAGGAGGAGGAGGATAAGGAGGAGGAGAAGGATGAGGAGGAAGAGGAGGAGAAGGAGGAGGATGAGGAGGAGGAGGAAGAGGAGGAGGATGAGGAGGAGGAGGCGGATGAGGAGGAGGAGGCGGAGGGGCAGCAGATTGTGGAGGAGGAGGAGGAGGAGGAGGCTGCTGCTGCTGATGATGATGATGCTGATGACGCTGATGCTGCTCATGATGATGATGATCATACTGATGATGCTGCTGATGATGCTGATGATGATGATGATGCTGATGCTGATGATGATGATGATGATGATGATGCTGCTCATGATGATGATGATGCTGATGATGATGCTGATGATGCTGATGCTGATGCTGATGATGATGCTGATGACGATGATGCTGATTTTGACGATGATGCTGATGATGATGTTGCTGATGATGATGGTGGTGATGATAATGATGATGATGTTGATGATTATGATTCTGGTGCTGCTGATGATGCTGATGTTGATGATGCTGACGATGCTGCTGTTGAGGATGCTGATGCTGATCATGATGCTGATGATGCTGATGATGACGATGATGAAGATGCTGATGCTGATGCTGATGCTGATGATGATGCTGATGCTGATGATGATGTTGATGATGACGATGCTGATGACGATGATGGTGATGATGTTGATGATGATGATGATGACGATGCTGATGCTGATGATGCTGCTGATGATGATGATGATGCTGATGCTGATGCTGACGCTGATGATGATGATGATGCTGATGATGACGATGATGATGATGATGCTGATGATGCTGCTGATGATGATGATGACGATGATGATGATGATGATGATG